TGGCAGCCAACGGGCACATGTTTAATGTGTTTGAATAATACATTTAATCATGTAACCCCGGGCGTTGCCCGGGTCATTCGTCTAGTATATATATAAGATAAAAGTTGATAATTTTTTGTGTTTAAGTTAGATGATTAAAAAGTTGTTTATATGTATTATATTTATATCTTATTTAGGAGAGAAAAATGTAATAAAAGTAATTATATGTTAGAATAATATGTTTTTATTTTAAATAGGGAAAAAAAAAAATTTGGAAAAATAAAAAGAAAATTTAACAAGAAAAGAAGATTTAACAACGTAACGTCTTTTAGCATCGGCTTTTACCCGTCATGTAGACATACTCTAAAAATAAATAGGAATAAAGAAGAGATTTATAATGATTATATATTTATATTTTAGTAAAAGAGAGTAAGTGAGTAGTGCCTATAACTATAAATAAAGATGAAGTGTTTCCCCACAGACACCATCAACAAGCTTTACAAACTTGATACCCTAATATGATTGAGTGGAGATAAGAAAAAGAAAGAAGTTATTCATCTATTAATATTTTTTTTTTAATGTTTGGGACATTTCCAGCGATAATGAAATAAGTTTCACTAAACATTACAGTGTACAACTTATACAACTTCTATTTAGCCTTTAAGAGCTTGAAATATTTTGACATGAACGTGTCAGACAGCGTTAGATATCTAAGAAAACTAAATTAGTATAAATTAAAAATGGTTTTGGAAATGGATTAAACGAGTCCTCTTGGAATATTTCCTGTCAAATCGGGAAGCAAAGGCGATAGTTTACTATATAGATAGCCTTGCTGAACTGATGAAAATAAAGAATTAACTCCTAAGACACAGGAAAACTCCCAAGACAGGAAAATTTCTCAAGACAGGTGACTTCTAAGATAGGAAAATCTCTCAAGACAGGTGACTTCTAAGACAGGAAAACTCTCAAGACAGGAAAATTTCTCAAGACAGGTGACTTCTAATAAGACAGGAAAACTCCCAAGACAGGTGACTTCTAATACAGGGAAGCACTCAAGACAGGTAACTTCTAAGACAGGGAAACTCCCAAGACAGGTGACTTATAAGACAGGGAAACTCCCAAGACAGGTGACTTCTAAGACAGGGAAACTCCCAAGACAGGTGACTTCTAAGACAGGGAAACTCCCAAGACAGGTGACTTCTAAGACAGGGAAACTCCCAAGACAGGTGACTTCTAAGACAGGGAATCACTCAAGACAGGTGACTTCTAAGACAGGGAAACTCCCAAGACAGGTGACTTCTAAGATAGGAAAATCACTCAAGACAGGTGACTTCTAAGATAGGAAAATCTCTCAAGACAGGTGACTTCTAAGACAGGAAAACTCTCAAGACAGGAAAATTTCTCAAGACAGGTGACTTCTAATAAGACAGGAAAACTCCCAAGACAGGTGACTTCTAATACAGGGAAGCACTCAAGACAGGTAACTTCTAAGACAGGGAAACTCCCAAGACAGGTGACTTCTAAGACAGGGAAACTCCCAAGACAGGTGACTTCTAAGACAGGGAAACTCCCAAGACAGGTGACTTCTAAGACAGGGAAACTCCCAAGACAGGTGACTTCTAAGACAGGGAAACTCCCAAGACAGGTGACTTCTAAGACAGGGAATCACTCAAGACAGGTGACTTCTAAGACAGGGAAACTCCCAAGACAGGTGACTTCTAAGACAGGGAAACTCCCAAGACAGGTGACTTCTAAGATAGGAAAATCACTCAAGACAGGTGACTTCTAAGATAGGAAAATCACTCAAGACAGGTGACTTCTAAGACAGGAAAACTCCCAAGACAGGTGACTTCTAAGATAGGAAAATCACTCAAGACAGGTGACTTCTAAGATAGGAAAATCACTCAAGACAGGTGACTTCTAAGACAGGAAAACTCCCAAGACAGGAAAATTTCTCAAGACAGGTGACTTCTAATAAGACAGGAAAACTCCCAAGACAGGTGACTTCTAATACAGGGAAGCACTCAAGACAGGTAACTTCTAAGACAGGGAAACTCCCAAGACAGGTGACTTCTAAGACAGGGAAACTCCCAAGACAGGTGTCTTCTAAGACAGGGAAACTCCCAAGACAGGTGACTTCTAAGACAGGGAAACTCCCAAGACAGGTGACTTCTAAGACAGGGAAACTCCCAAGACAGGTGACTTCTAAGACAGGGAAACTCCCAAGACAGGTGACTTCTAAGACAGGGAATCACTCAAGACAGGTGACTTCTAAGAGAGGTTTTACCATGTACTCTTAAAATAGGAAGAGATGCGGCATTCCAACTGACTAAGGCTTCCATCAGCCAATCAGAAACTGACTTTATTAATTGGTAGAAGGAGGGATTAGCATGGAGTAGTATCTCATGATTTCATACTTTATTTTTGTTGCAGCTATATCCATTTAACAACAAAAATCTTTATTAAGACCTTATACAGATTCTCAGAGTAGAAGAGGGTATATACAGAAATAACAGTAATAGTAACAATAATCAGTGCAATGTTATTTACAATGTATCAAATAGGGGGGAAAGAAGAAAGAAAGGACTTGACATAAACTTATATACAAGTAATCAAGAACAAGCAGTTCCTTTTCTTAAAGAACAATAATTAATAGTATTGACAGAAATTTAGATTAGTACAAGTGAAAAAAAAAGGAATATATACAACAATGTATTATATATAATTATCAGACATCTATACAGCAGTTTTATACCTGGATGGATCAAGGGTAAGACAGTATAGTTATATTTTGCCTGTCGAAGGGCTTTTGCCCGAAAGCTTGTAGCCTTTTTACAATTAAAGAAACTCATCTTCTGAACCTTCTTAATGATATACCTTACTAGAAGAGTATTTACCTTTAATTAAATAAATTGCTGTGTCATCCTGAAGTTTGTCTTTTCCTAATTTTGTACGTTACAATATAAAATCTCAGGCCAAAAATAAGGCCAAAAATTATTCTGAAAGAACAACAATTACAATATAATAAACATCCTAAATATCTTGGCTACACCCTGGATCCAGAAATTAACTCCAGTAAACATATTGAAGAAGTTATTAGAAAAGGAAGAGACCAACTAAAAATCCTGAAATATATTTCAGGAAGAGAGTGGGGAGCCGATGCAACCACACTAAAATTAACTTACACATCTCTAATTAGACCTATCCTGGAATATGGATATCAAATCTATGGTACAGCATCTGAAACAAATCTAAAATCACTGGAAAGGATACAACTAAGTGCAGCTAGAATTATTACAGGTCTTCGAAATACCTGCCCTAACGATATTGTACTTTACGAGGCAGACATTATGCCCTTAAAGGATAGAAGAAGCTACAATCTGCCAAAATATATAAACAAAATCAAGAGTTATGGAAACAAACACAGAACTTCCAATTACATACTTAATTGGGAATCCAATCTAAGACTCAAAAAAGAAGGCCCTCTCCACGTGGCCAAAAGAAATGGATTTTTAAAATATAAAGTAGAAAAAAATTATTTAGCAGAAAAAATTTCTCCTTGCGAACCACTACAAAATGTTATTTTTAATGCCTCTTTAAATGAACCCACCAACAAACAATGCCAAAATCCAGAATACTTAAAACAATTATCATTAGAAATAATTAATAACATTCCTAAAAATGCAATAACTATTTATACCGATGGTAGCAGAGACGAGCTAGGACACACTGGCAGTGGCTGTCTCATCAAAACCACAAATGGCATTGAGAAAATGAACAGAAGAAACCCAGATTTTTGCTCAGTCTTCAGATCAGAACTTATAGCCATCTATGAAGCCTTAAAATCCATCAGAAATACTAATTATCAAGATATCTGGATTCTTACTGATAGTAGAAGTGCCATACAACACTTGAGTCACACAGGGGAATTCAGAGACAAAGTAAGCAGGAACATAATTGGCTATCTCCAAAAACTCTCAAAAACCTCAAAAATTCACCTTCAATGGATACCCTCACATGTTGGAATTGAAGGCAATGAAGCTGCTGATGTGCTAGCGAAAAAAGGCACAAAAGAACCCTTGCCACAGAAAAATAAACTTACTTTTAAAGAAATAGAGACAGTAGCCAAAACAAAAATAAATAAGAACTGGAGGATCCCACCTAAGCACAGTTGGTACAGTGGAGTGAACCCAGGAGGAGCTCTGAACATCAGAAATAGACAGCATCAAACAACACTAACAAGATTTAGAACAGGCCATCTCAAGCCATTGAAGATAGAAAATAATAACAAAATCTACCCCACTTGCCCAAAATGTAGCTTGGCACCTGCAGCTCCAGAACACATTTTGGCTTTCATTAGATGCACTAAACAGGACCTTTGGGAGAGGCCGCTGCTCATCATAAAACAGCTCGAGGAGCATGAACTCATGGAATTCGTGTAATCTTTACACAAGGGGATAAGAAACAACAACAACAATATAAAATATTTGAAAGTAAAGCTTAGGTCAGCCAACACAGTATTTAGCCAGTTGTACATTTGTTGGGTTGGAACATAACAGAATCACCCAGCAATTCTTCTCTCTGTATTCCATCATGAGAGGGCAGGTAAAATAAACATACCTCTTTAATGGTAAAGCACAATTTGGATTATGGATACAAGAAAATAAGACATAATTATGTCTTATTTTCTTGTATCTATACCTCGTTAATATTAATTAAAATTAATAAATATTACAGTATTTAGGATTTTTTTTTTTTTTTTTACTTCATACAGTATAACCTTTTTTTTTTTTTGCTTATCTCTAGTACACGTGGTACAGGCCATGATAATCATGGTGGGTAGTTAGCGACTGCTTTTACTGTAAGCGCACCACATGTCTACACATGTGAAAAGCAGTTTGACTTTGCACTTACAAATGTGTCAGAGCCCCGTTTGGTTACTTGCACTCGCTGATGGGGTTGGACTTTTGCAAAAATTGGGGGCCATTCGAGCTTTTTTTTTTTTTTTCACAGAAAAAAAGTGTCCAATGCGGGAATCGAACCCAGGTCATAGTGGTCGAAAACCAAACGGTTTAACCAGCCTTCAACCGAACCTTTTGATAAGGCACAATTTGGATTATAGATTAGAAAAACATAAGGTAATAAGATCAAATAAATAAATAATGTGTGACGTTTTGGTAACAGGACATTCATTCTGTACTTTTGTCTGAAGATGGTAACAACATTGTTACCGAACCATCGCACACTATTTAGAGATTTGGTATTATTACCTTATGAGTATAACCAATCTCTTGTTAAATTCTCTAGAATTTCAACACTTTCAGTTATTCAACCATGTTTTCATGTCCCAACCAATCAAATTTCTGTCAGTTCACAAAGTGTGTGTGTTCCAGATTACATGTACGAAGAGTTGGATTTCTCGGTGAAGCGAGGCCGGAGGAAGTTGAAGGAGGAATTCATGAAGCATAAAGATGTCCAGGATATCCGGGTCATTGACCTGCTTGTCATTAAGGTATCACACTTGGTTATTTATTTTTATAATCTTTTATTTAACTTAGCTTCCCTCTCTGTCTGTCTGGCTATCCACAAATCTTGCAATCAATTTTTAATATACATTTAAACAGGTGTTTAAACAATCAAAGGCTTATGGAAGCTAATAAAAAAAAAAATACCAGAGATTAAATCCATCATGTTACACCATGATAATGCACAACCTTCAGATGCTATTGAACAAATGGGCTAGTTCCAAAACCCTCCATAAATATTATGTTTAGTACTTTGTGAATTATATTTATTCTCCACAATGCAAAAAAAGGCTGAAGAGACATATATTTGAAGGGCTACAGGCCATAAAGACATGTTTGAGAAAATAAACTCCAGCATATTTCCAAAGCGGATTTACAGCGTGGGTTCCACACTGGAGGAAATGTATAGACCCCGGTGGAGAATATTTTGAATAATACCATTCTATTCACAAAAAAATATCTATTAATATGGCTATAGACAGGTCACTTTTAATGTAAATCGCATCGTACTACGTATTTAAAATTGGGCGCTTAGAGAGGAAGGCGCTATTTAGAGGGGGTGCTATAGACAGGTTTAACTGTATATATATAAAAGGTTTTATAATATTTAAAGAAAGTTATAGAAATTTTGATGTTGAATTGAGAGTATAATGTCAGTATAGCAAGCTGAATATATATTTGTACATATAAATATCTTCTTAAAAGAGTGCAGACATGTATTGACAAGATGTCATTTGTGTGTAGGGCCAGAAGGAACTGGAGGATACCGTCCGGAGACTCAAGCAGTGCAGCCACATCGCAGATTACTTTTCTGAGCAGCACCGCGCCATCGAGCCCAAGACAACCTTCATGGATAAATTCTACGACAACCAGCCCTGAGTCCATGTTGGAGCCTCCTAACTTTCTTTGTTTCAATAGATTTATTCAAATTTAAATAGTAATTCTGTTTGGTGGTATTTCTCTCTCCCTTTTATTTATTTGTTGTTGTTTCTTACACCTGTTGTTGTTGTTGTTTCTTATCCCCAGTGTTGGGCATTAAAAAAATATTTTTCAATTAAATTGTTAATTGACTAAGAAATTAATTGCAATTAAATCAATTGCAATTAATTTAATTGCAAATTAAAGATTAATTGCAATTGATTTAATTGCAATTAATTTATTAGCAATTAATTTCTTAGTCAATTAACAATTTAATTGAAAAATATTTTTTTAATGCCCAACACTGATAGACAAAAACAAAACAAAAAAAAAAAAACACAGTCCAATGGAATATTAGAGCGGCCTGGTAGACAGTGTTGGGCAAATATTAATTAAAATGATTTATTAAAGATTAACAATTAATTAATTGTTAATTGTGAAAATTACAATTAACAATTAATCAATCGTTAATCTTTAATAAATCATTTTAATTAATATTTGCCCAACACTGCTTATCCCCTTGTGTAAAGATTACACAACTAACTACATCAACATTTTCATATCCCTCGGCAGAGCTGATTGCTACAGGGCACCTCCCCAGGTGGCAGATAGAGGAATGACCTTCAGATATGTGTTGACATATCTGTCGAAAATCAACAGTCTTTACTGCTCTTCCTCCAACCCCCAGAATACTATATTATAACAATGCTTTTAACGAAACGTCACAAACAATTTATTAATTTGTATTTGGTCTTTTGTTAGCTTACATTTATAGCATTGATGTATGATTAGGTACAATTTGGATTAAAGATTAGAAATAAATGGTAACAAATCCAAATAAATAAATTGTGTGTAACACTTCGGCAACAGCGTTGTTACTTTTGTTTGTGTCTAAGTATAAAGATTCAGATATGAAGGCCAGCTGCGAAACAAGCATAATAACTGACAAATAAGCAGTCGCAGACCAACAGCAGTATTGCTAGAAGAGGAGAAAGACATCTTTAAAAATCTTGAGTTCAACTGACCCTGTTGATAAACCTCAACAAAGGTCCCTTTGCAGGGATATGGAGGAGCTGCATCTGTACTTAAGTTTGAGTTGGCAGCAAAGGCATCTGCTTCCATGTTAGGAATGGCCTCAAAATACAGGCAAAGACAGACATTCGCCAAAGTGTGCCATGATCAACAAGAGCTGCACCCCTACACCCCATTCTATTAGATCATGAACTCAAGGAATTTGTGTAATCTTTTTTTTTTTGCTTATCCCTAGTACACGTGGTACAGGCCATGATAATCATGGTGGGTAGAAGTAGGCGACTGCTTTTACTGTAATTGCACCACATGTCTACACATAAGCAGTTCTACCGTAGCCAAGCAGTTGATTCGAATTCACTCGCTTGTGGGGTTAGACTTTTGCAAGAATCGGGGGGCCATTGAAGAATTTTTTTTTTTAAATCAGAAAAAAAGTGCCCAATGCGGGAATCGAACCCGGATCGTAGCGGTCGAGAACCAATGGTTTAGACTAACCTTCCACCGACCCCCATTTGTGTAATCTTTACACAAGGGGATAAGGAACAACAACAACATTTTCATGTTACCATTCAAGAAATGATATGGTCCCATTTGAATGATGAATGATTAGAAATATAAGAGGTAACAACACCAAATTAATGTGATATGGTACAATTTGGATTATAGATTATAAACACAAGGTAATAAAACCAAATCCCTATAAATAAATAGTGTGTGACGTTTCAGTAACAGCGTTGTTACCATCTTCAGACATTTTCCACTTATCATTCTAAGAATAATATTTTAGGATTCTTAGAAAATTATCTACTATATTGTTTACATACTTGATAACAGTAACTATTTAAAACATGCTGTGGTATAATTTCTCATTCAGCACTTTTGTCTGAAGATGGTAACAATGCTGTTACCAAAACGTCACACACTATTTATTATTACCTTGTGTTTAACACCAAATTAATAAACTGTATGTGACTTTTTTTTTTTGGGTAACAGTGTTGATACCATCTACAGACAAAAGTAAAATAAACTTTTTACGAAATTATTTTTAATATCCCCTAGTACACATGGTATTGAAGGGGTCGGTGGAAGGATGGTCTAAACCGTTGTTTTCGACCGCTACGACCCAGGTTCGATTCCCGCATTGGACACTTTTTTCTGATTTAAAAAAAAAAATACCCCAATGGCCCCCGATTCTTTCAAAAGTCAAACCCCACCAACGAGTGCAAGAAACCAAACAGGGCTCTGGCACATTTGTAAGTGCAAATTCGAACTGCTTTTTACATGTGTATAACATGTGGTGCACTTACAGTAAAAGCAGTCACTTTCTTCTACTAGGGACACTACGTGTACTAGGGATAAGTAAAAAAAACACATGGTACAGGCCATAATAATCATGATAGATAGTTAGTTTATATATATACGGATAAAAGATTACATGAGGAGCTTCTTTTTAGATTTATTGCGAGCTTTCGAACCTTTCGGTTCTTCTACAGGCATGGATAGCATGAATATACTAACCCTAGTTGTAGAAGAACCGAAAGCTCGCAATAAATCTAAAAAGAAGCTCCTCATGTAATCTTTTATCCGTATATATATAAACTAAATTCTACTGAGTTCATCTAGCCGAGAATAGATAGTTAGTGACTGCTTTTATTGCAAGTTTACATATGCAGAAAGCAGTTCAACTTTTGCCTTGCTAGCTTTCCAGAGCCCTGTTGAGTTACTTGCACTGGAGGAGTAGACCATTGAGGCCATTTTATCTTCAGAAAAAAAGTGTCCATTGTGGGATTTGATCCCAGGACATAGCTGTCAAAAATCGACAGTTTATACTGCTCTTCCTCCAACCCGTCAGAAACAATTTATTAATTTGGATTTGGTCTTTAGTTAGCTTATTTTTCTAACTTTGAGGTATGATTAGGTACAATTTGGATTAAAGATTAGAAACAAAAGGTAATAAATCCAAATAAATTAATTGTGTGTAACACTTCGGTAACAGCGTTGTTACTTTTGTATGTGTCTAGAGTCAGTACTTTTGCCTGATGATAGTAACACTGCTGTTACAGAAACGTTACCCTCAATTAATTAATTTGGATTTGTTACCTTATGTTTCTAACATTGACATATATTAAAAACAAACGAGGTCGGTAGAAGGCTGGTTAAACCGTTTGGTTTTCGACCACTACGACCCAGGTTCGATTCCCGCAATGGACACTTTTTACTGATTTTATAAAAAAATGCTCCAATGGCTCCCGATTCTTGCAAAAGTCCAACCCCACCAGCGATTGCAAGTAACCAAATGGGGCTCTGGCACATTTGTAAGTGCAAAGTCGAACTGCTTTTCACATGTGTAGACATGTGGTGCGCTTACAGTAAAAGCAGTCGCTAACTACACACCATGATTATCATGGGATAATTTTTTTAAAAAAGGCTTGAACGTTCTCACATGGGCATTTTAGATAGCATAGTGCTGCCATCTAGTGAAATAAATATCAACTAAACGTTTATTTAACTTGTTCCATGATATTTGGATTTTATTCACATTAACGTATATCTGATGGATAAAGACATTTTTCCTAGATAACTCAAATGGGTTTTTGAAGATGGAAGAGTATTAATTATTTTTAAAATATTGAT